AAAAGCTTTCCCCCTAGCCTTAGCTAGGGAGTTAGTTCCCCATAAAATAAAACTAAAACAGAAATTTAGAACTAGAAGAATTGGAGGAAGGAGAGAAAGCTCAAGAGTTGTGGAGCTTGGTGTGTGTTTTGAAGCTTGAAGACTTCTCTATTTATAGGGCTAAGAGGGAGGAACATCATGATGAATTCCAACACCATCATTCCTCTTTTAATACAATCCATAACTCTCACTTCAACTTGTCTATGTTAGTGTGGTTGGAATCAATTCCATCCCATACTTCTTTTGCTGCTGCACCTTAAGCTTTCTTCACATGGGTTTTCAAAGGTGTTCAATTGTGGGTGCCTTTTGCTGCCAACCCATGTGGTTTTCTTTTGGTTGTTGAAAAAAAAATGATTCTTCTGAACCAGGCTTGGTGTAGGAAGGCCTGAGGTTTCAATATGTATCCAATGTGGCTCAAATTTGTATATGTCATAATAAACACCCATTGGAACAACTTTTATCAAGAATGTATTCCCATCTAAGTAGTACAAGTGTACGTTTTGGGCCTTGCAAGTTGACTGCCGAAAATAGACTGGAATTAACTTCATTTCTTTTCTTTCCTTTCTTTTTGCTTCATATGCATGCACATTCTTTCTCTTTAATAGCTCCAGCATGTACCAACTAATCCCACCAGCAGCCTGGAAAGTGCTTCTTGATTTATCCCAACATGTTTCCCACAATGCCTTGTTTTTGCTCCTTTAGACTTTCATAGCTGGAATGTCTCCCTACTTTACTCAATTTGTTGGGTCCAAAGTCAATTACAGCTGGGGTGAGGCACATGGCTTAAAGGAAGTGACAAGGCTCAACAGTTGGCAGCTGCAATCCTGAGCATGGTGTGCATTTTGATGGGCCCACGGATTGGGCTTGGCTTCATCAATTGATACGTTTTAGCAGTTCAGAATCTCCTCTTTCCAACCACATATTATTTGGGCCAATACAAGTTGGGAGGAAGAAGTTAAGGCCGAAACAAATTGCTAACTCAGTCTACTCGTTTTTGCACCATTTTGCATGTTTTCCTATCCAAAGCCACCATTGCTACCTAAGGCCCAATGAACTGAATGATAAACAGAAAAGGGATTAAAAGCACATGTTTAACTCAATAACATAACCAAATCATAAGCTAAAAGGGTAGAAAATGATATACAATTATGAACTGATCAGTTGACGTGCATTTAATTTCTAGTTTGTAAAATAACTTTTGAGGTTTCTGGCACTGTTCACAACCTCTGGGTTGGTTTCTCTTTAATAAAGTTTTTTAAATATTTTCATTTACAGATGCTATTAAAAGACTCTAATCCAATCCATTGTAATTAAATAAAGGGCTTAACGTATTTTTGGAATCTTGGAGTATAACTCCAGGGATATGGATGTTATATTTTCAAGATCCTCAAGGTACGTGCAACTGTCACGTGTCCTAATTTTGGGGTGTGACAAGAGAGCTCCTAGGTTTTGTAGTTTTAGGTTTTCCTGTTATATGATCATTTTAAATTTTATTGATAATCTTTTGTTCTTGCTGTTAAAACCCAGGGGATGTTATGAACCACAGCAAATTCGAGAGATAAAAACATACTTACATCACTAAGATTCCTTAGTTTTATATTTATTTTGAGAAGTTAATTTACCATCCTTAGAAATGTGCAGAAAATAGTAAATATTTCATATATGTTTTTTTAATTCAAATATTGGATATATGTTTAGGTTTGACATATACTTTAGTTCTTAACAATTAACAAGCATAAGTTAATTATTAATAGTATTCCAATGTTAGATGAGGTTTCAGGTTCGAATGTCTCCTCATTATTAAAAAAAAAGGTATCATGTTATTGAAAAAATATATCACAATTTTATACTAGAGTGGACGTGATTCAATTTAATTCGCTCTAGATGTTAACCTAATTATATCGTTGAATAAACCCAATCCATTTAGTGACTGGTCTGGTTCAGTTATTTTCTGGTTATAGTTGAGAAAAAATTTTCCTTTTGAAAATTGTGAAATTTTGAGAGATATGACAACAAATTTGAATGAGATGGAGATTTTAATTTTTGCTACTAAATGGTTGACATCAATGTATGTGTTGGAAATTAGGAAGTTTCTTTATTTTCTTTTCTGTAATGGATTGTAATTGATTTAGGAGTAGTCTCCAAGTAAACCTAGGATTCCTTGTAGGGTTTGTAAATCTTTCTATAAATACTTAGCCTTTTGGCTTTATCAATACATAGAGAAATATTCTTCTCAACATAGTCTCCAATTTGACATTGTATCAGAGCACCAATTCTAGGTGTCTCTTTGTTTACAAACCCTAGCCGTCTAACTCTTCATGGGTGACACTAGCAACACCTCCCAAACAGAAGCCAAAATTCCTCCAACAGAAACCATGGATCATATTCATCCTTACTTCTTGCAATCCTCGGATCATCCATGGCTTGTTATTGTCTCCCAACCTCTTGATGGAGATAACTACAGCATGTGGCGCCGCACTATCACCATTAGTCTCAGTGCCAAAAACAAATTAGGGTTGTTGATGGCACCATCAAATCTCTTTCTGAGAAAGATTCCAAATACCCTTTATGGCGTCGCTGCAACGATATGGTGATGGCTTGGTTGTTGAATGCTCTCACATCAGCCCTTGCCAATAGTGTCATCTATGCCGACACCCCTGCTGAAATTTGGAGTGATTTGCAGGATCGATTCTCTCTTGGCAATCTTACTCGTGTTTTTCAAATTCGGAGGATCATCGCCGAACACAAACAAGGTCAGCAAACTATCTGTCAATACTACACAAAATTGAAATCCCTTTGTGATGAATTGGGCTCTTATCAATCCGTACTGTACTGCACCTGTGGAGCCTTGAAGGTGTTGCGAGCACGCCAGGATGAAGAGCAAGTCATACAATTTTTGATGGGTCTCAATGACTCATACACAGCCATTCGAGGCCAAATTTTATTTAAGAAGACTGTTCCTTCTGTTAAGAAGGCCTATTCCATGATTATGCAGGAAGAACAACAACGTGAAGTGGGAGAACACACTCTGTCTGAAGTTGCACATGCCATGAACGTGAGCAACAAGTCATTCAAGCCCCTAGCTCCTCCTCTACCAGCAACTCCAAAGCACAAGAGACCAACTCTTCCAAACATACCTCTCAAAGAAGCAATTCACGCAAACCTCTCTTTTGTACCTATTGTGAGGATACAACTCATCTAGTCAATAGATGTTATTATTTGCACGGTTTTCCTACTTGGCACAAGGTTCATGGCAAAGATGTCAAGCCACCCAATTGCTCCAAGAAACCTTCCATAGCAAATCAGACACAATCTACTCCACCACCCGCCATAGAAGGTTTCAAATTCTCCGCTGAGGAGTATGCTCAACTCAAGTCCTTGCTTCGTGATGGTAAACCTCGTGCAAATTTCACAGGTAAAATACCTTCGTTTTGTGCCCTCTTGGGCTCATCATCCACAAATCCTTGGATACTTGACAGTAGAGCCATTGATCACATTTCGCCTCCTTCCGAGCTATCTGTTACTACCCCCACTCAACTCCACTGTTGATCTTCCTGATGGGTCTCATGCAAAAATCAGTGGCCTTGGCTCCTCATCTCTGGGTCCAAATTTATCTGTTGATGGAGTTCTTTGTGTGCCTTCCTTTTGTGTTCATTTACTTTTTGTTAGCAAACTTACATCTCATCTCAACTGTTCTATTCACTTCTGCCCTACCTTTTGTGTCTTATAGGACCTGACTTCGAAGAGGATGATTGGCCTGGGGAAACAAGTTAATGGCTTATACTACTTGCTCACGAAAGAGAACGTCACCACTCCACCATCCACATCCAACACCACCACATGCCACCTCAATCACAAATCCTCTGCTCTCTAGCATCAACGCTTAGGTCATCCCTCCAAAGAACCATCCAAATTTTTGTCTTAAAATTTCTGGAATTTTATTTGATTTGCACCATCATTGTGATGTATGCCTTTTAGCTAAGCAAACTCGTTTGCCTTTTTCTTCTAGTTCAATCAAAACTGCTCGTCCTTTTGATTTAATTCATTATGATATCTGGGATCCTCACTGCGTTGCATCTCATTCAGGTGCACAATACTTTCTCACTATTGTTTATGATTACACATGCTACATTTAGTTTCACCTCATGCATCACAAATCTAAAACACAACAAATTCTCAAGAATTTCTTTGCTTATGTCCCCAATCACTTTTATTATTCTGTCAAAAGTGTTCGTTTCGATAATGGGACTAAATTTGTGTCTATGATCTCTTTCTTTGGTGAACATGGCATCACTTTTCAATGCTCATGCCCTTCCACTCCACAACAAAATGGAGTGGTTGAATGCAAACATAGGCACTTATTTAATGTTGGTCGAGCTCTTCAATTTCAGGCTCATCTTCCTCTTCCTTTTTAGGGAGAAAGTGTTCTCACCGCTGCCTACCTCATCAATCGCCTTCCCACACCTACCCTGAACAAAAAATCACCATATGAAATGCTTCACCAAACACCTCCCACATATACTCATCTTCGTGTCTTTGGGTGCCTTTGTTATGCTACCAACACCAACTCACCTTCCAAATTTTCACCTAGGGCTAGTCATAATGTCTTTGTGGGATATCCATTGGGTCAAAAGGCTTATAGAGTTTATGACCTTTCCACACACAAGTTTTTCTCTACCTGTGACGTCGTGTTTCATGAACATGTCTTTCCTTACCACACCTCATTATCAAGCACACATCCCATTGCTTCTACACCTTTTCCTAACCCGTTTCTAGATATTTTTCCCTCTAAAACATAATCCCACCCTCAAACAACGCCCAAAACCACAAACTGTCCAGAAACGATCGATCGCCCATCCTTTGGTGATCGATCGCTTTTTGACAGAGAGCATTCGAACTCTCCAATTGACGAAACAATCGATCGCCCCGTGACATCGACAATGTTCCTGACTCTCCTTCCCCAGAAAACGTCCCAACCTCTCCACCACTTCATCGTAGCCAACGTGTCTCTCGACCATCCATTATCTTACGTGATTTTTACTGTAATCAAGCTACAAATGGGCCATCATCTTCCAAGACGTCAGGTACACAGTTTCCTTTGTCCAATTACATTTCTTACACCTCTTTATCTCCTTCACACAAAGCTTTTGCTAACCAAATTTCAAGTGTTGTTGAGCCCACTTCTTATGCTCATGCTTCACTCAACCCTCACTAGCGTATCGCTATGGATGCCGAACTACAAGAGCTTGTCCAACCAAACACTTGGTCGTTGGTTCCGCTCTCATCTGGAAAGCGTGCAATTGGCAGTTGGTGGGTGTATCAGATCAAGTACAATTCTGACGGTTCTATTGAGTGTTACAAAGCTCATCTTATTGCCCAAGGCTTTGTTCAACGAGAAGGCCTTGATTTTACGAAAACCTTTGCTCATGTTGTGAAATTGGTCATTGTTCATTGTGTACTAGCCATTGCTTCTGTTCATTAGTGGCCTCTTTATCAAATGGATGTTAACAATGCCTTTCTCCATGGTGATCTCCATGAAGAAGTTTACATGACCCCTCCTCCGGGCTTTGTCAACAAGGGGAGAGTACTTTGGTTTGTCGACTACACAAGTCCCTTTATGGTCTTAAACATGCTCCTTGCAATTGGTTTCACAAGTTTTCTGTTGCCATTCAGAAAGCAGGATTTACACAATCTCTCTCAGATTATTCTCTCTTCACTCGTACTTGTGGTACATCATTTACTGTTGTTTTAATCTCTGTTGATGACATGGTGATCATAGGCAATGACGAGAATGCTATACATAACTTGACGTCTTTTCTTCATAATCAGTTTCACATTAAAGATTTGGGACATTTGAAGTATTTTCTTGGGCTAGAGATTGCAAGATTAAAGGCAAGAATTGGGATCTCCCAACGAAAGTACACATTTGATTTACTCAATGATGCAGGTCCTCTAGGTGCTCAACCAGTAGACTTTCCTATGGAGCAAAACTTGAAGCTCACAAACAGTGATGGTGAAGTGCTCAACGATCCTTTGCGGTTTAGGCGATTGGTGGGAAGATTAATCTACCTTACAATCACTTGACCAGAGATTACTAATGCAGTCAACATTCTCAGCCAATTTATGCATCAACCGAGGAAACCACATTTAGATGTCGCTTTACGTATTCTTCGCTATTTGAAAGGTAGTCCAGGTCAAGGATTACTTTTCTTTTCAAACAACAAGTTGCATTTGATATAGGTTATTGTGATTCGAATTGGGCAAACTGCCCCATGACAAGAAGATCCACTTCAGGCTACTCTGTTTTTCTTAGGAATTCACTCATATCCTGGAAGACAAAGAAACAAAAAACGGTATCTCGTTCATCTGCTGAAGCAAAATATCGTTCCATGGCAACTGCTACTTGTGAGCTGACTTGGTTGCAATATCTTTTGAAAGATCTACAAGTTACCAATTTAGGTCCTGCAAAGTTGTTATGTGACAACCAAGCAGCCCTTCATATTGCTGCCAATCACGTTTACCATGAATGCACGAAACACATTGAGATTGATTGTCACGTGGTTCGAGAGAAGATACAAACTGGACAGATTGCTGCCTCCTTTGTTCCATCCGCGTCACAGTTAGCAGATTTGTTCACAAAAGCCCTTGGAAGTAATGCTTTTCACAATCTTGTACGCAAGTTGGGCTTGATATCCATGCTCCAACTTGAGGGGGAGTGTTGGAGATTAGGAAGTTTCTTTATTTCCTTTTCTGTAATTGATTGTAATTGATTTAGGAGTAGTCTCCAAATAAACCTAGGATTTGTAGGGTTTGTAAATCTTTCTATAAATACTTAGCCTTCTGGCTTTTTCAATACATAGAGAAATACTCTTCTCAACACAGTCTCCAATTCGACAGTATGAGATGAAACATATAAGTGAAATGTTATAAACCAACTAATTGCATTTTGGTTCATTTCAAATCGAAATATTACACTATTTTTGTGTGTGTAAAAATCGAACTAGACCGTAGTTTTCGTTCAAATATAAAATTTTTAAACACAAAATGAATATTGTCATGTTGATTCTATTTTTATTTACTTATCTTTCAATAATTCTTAAAAATCAAAACTAAAATTAACTCTACCTTAATGTGTGCGATAATATTTTTCTATTGTAGATACTGTAAATCAAACTCTTTCATTTTGTGTCTTCTGATTTTACCTTTGAACTAATCAACTAACCCAATATATAGAGTGAGTTGAGTCAAATTAAGTCTAATTTGGCAATAGGAAAGAAAAACTATTTTCTTAAATTTTTGCATGATGATAGCCTAAAGTAAAAATAAAGAAATAAACTTTAAATTACAGCTTTCATATATATATATAGAAATTCTCCTATGCGGACATCTGGATGTTATTATCTTGCAGACGCCATGTATTTTATACTACCTCTTCCTGCTTTCATGCCTATTTACAATAGCATCCACACGATAATAACGTGCAGACATCCGGATAAGAGAATAACTATATATATACAATTTTGCTCACATCATGATGACTTGATTTTAAAATGCGAACACTAAAGGTGAAACGTCATATCAATCCAATGGTATTGCAGCTTTGATATGTATTAATTGATAAAACTTAAAGCCACACGCAGCAACTCTTTGGTGTTTTTTTTTCACGCGCAAGTTGGCAGCCTCAACTTTATTGATTATTGAATTAATTTAATATTTTATTAAACTAAAAAGGCGGGCAGCTTAGGGCAGCCCAAGAGGTTTACTTTAATTAATTGTTCAACGCCTCCATCTTCTCTACATCTTTCTGACATTGACATCCCCATCACATCAGACCATAACTGTACAACTCAACTCATCCTTCCAAGTTCAAGTAAATACTATTTTAATTTGTTTTAGTTATTTTTTTTTTACTCATATTATAATATTTAATATCTTATTTTCGTTTCAACACAGCAACTCTTTGGTGTTTTTTTTTCACGCGCAAGTTGGCACCCTCAACTTTATTGATTATTGAATTAATTTAATATTTTATTAAACTAAAAAGGCGGGCAGCTTAGGGCAGCCCAAGAGGTTTACTTTAATTAATTGTTCAACGCCTCCATCTTCTCTACATCTTTCTGACATTGACATCCCCATCACATCAGACCATAACTGTACAACTCAACTCCATCCTTCCAAGTTCAAGTAAATACTATTTTAATTTGTTTTAGTTATTTTTTTTTTACTCATATTATAATATTTAATATCTTATTTTCGTTTCAGACCAAAAAATATCTTAATTGTGCTTGCTATTCCAATTTGCCTATCATGATTTCTTGACCAAAGTTTTTCATTACACAGACAGGCAATTGTTCATTTATTTTCTTAGTTTTTTTTTTCTAGGAGTTTTTTTTTCTTTGCTTCTTCTTTTAGAAATATTATTCTCTGATTTTTATGATTTTTTAAATTTATTGTATTGTTTTCATTGTAATCGTTTCATGAAGATAGATTACATGGCCATAGAATTAGATGGTCATTCTGAAGGGGCTGGGCAATATAGATTAAATTCATATTCAGATTCATGTGACAAAATCTACAAACCGCAACTAAGAGATGACCACAAGCCAAAATCAGGCCAAGGATTTGAGTCATTAGATGATGCTTATGAGTTGTACAATAATTATGCCAAGGAAGCTGGTTTCAGTGTCAAAATCAATTCTAGTAGGAAGAATAAAGAAACTAATGAAATCCTACAAAAGGAGTATGTGTGTTCTAAAGAAGGAGTGCCCGCTAAA